CTTCCACCTTGTTGCGTGATACTCACGTGCCCGCGAAACCGCTCAGCTATGTGGAATCTTGGCTAAAGAAAAACGAAATTGAGCCATATCATATTCCTCCCCACCACGGTTCGACACTCAAAACAAACCTGTCCACCAAATAAACAATGATGTCGCTCCACTTCCCCAATGCGAGCCTCATCTCTTCGTCGCAAGAAATAAATCTACCATCATTGTCTTGGTTTCCACGTTATTAAAGGTATCTCAACCTTGTTGAACTTGCCACGTCATTCCCGCTATTGAGCTTGCAACCTCGCCGAGTCATGACATGACCACACCCGATTATCTCACGGCCTTGTTGAGTTTCTCGGATTAAACTCATTGACGTTGTAGAACTCACGACATTGTTTTGCCCAAACAACGTCGCTGCTTTTCAATAAATCTCAAGCTCGTCGAGTCTGCGACATCGCCAAACACATGTCACTGCTGAACTAAACAATGTCGTTTCCTAGACTCGCGGTGTCGTTGAACTTACTAGCAATTCCGCCGAACTTGCTACATCATTATATGGTCTTACTGGGCTCACATGTATGGCCTCTGACTCGTGATGTTGTTTTCTACCAAACAACATCGTTTCAAGTATCCCGACGTTGTTGGATCTTTGTGACGCCGACGGTCATGTTAGGCTTGTCTCACAACATTGTTCTCCGCAAAATAACATGTTTTCCTACTACCGCGACATTGTTAAGGCTGTAATTTCTCGTGACATTGTTTTCACTAAACAATATCGTTTCAAGTACCGCGACGTTGTTGATACCTCATGCAATGTATATTTCTACTACCGCAACATCGTTTATGTGCAATTTCTTGTGACATTGTTTTTACTAAACACTGTTGTTTCTTAGAATAAAGGTAGCGTTGGGGCTTGACTTCTCGCGGCGTTGTTTTATTTTACTAAACAACGCCGGTTTTATTCCCTCATGACGAAGTTGGTCACGCCACACATGCAGATGCGACCTTGGCCGAATCTTCTCCTTCTCCGGTAAAGAATACAAAGCACTTCTTTTCCAACCCTAACACCAACATTGCAGATTCTCACGATATTGCTTTCTATTAAAAACTGTCGTTTCACCTACTGCGGCATTGTTGGGCTCCCTCCAGCTTCGTGGTGTCGTTTTAGCTCTCTGTGGCATTACTTGGTACTAAACGATGTCGTTTGTTATCACGCAACATCGAATTAAATGCCGAGAGTCATTAATGCGACATTTAATTCAGGCCAAAATAATTTTAGGTGTCAACAGCCCCCATTCGTTTGTAAAGAGCCAGTATAAGAACCCGTCAGAGTAAACGTGAGAACCGATTCTTGCAAGTGGATTTGAAGTGGAATAGAGTTTTCACAGGTAGTAGGGATAGAATGTCGAGCACAGTATTGGAAGGCAGATAACGAACAGGTTCTACTACTTTGTTGGAGGAAACATGTACCTGAGGCTGATGGTGCACGATTTGGCGGCCGCCGCCGGTGGGATCGTCGTTGGAGCCGAAACTCATATTGCAACTGTCGTACGAAGAATTTGGGACGGCGCGACGGAGTCTCGAAAGGGTTTTCTTTTATTTCTCTATTGCATGCATTCGCCGAAACGAAGAGATAAATAATAGGTCATAGTCCCATTAACGAGGATAACTTTGGGCTAAAAGCACTTTTATTAAGATTATGCCGGAACCGGTGCTTAACGGTTACATCTATAACCGATTAAATAGTAAACGGTCGATTCCCGGTAGCCAAATTTATCTAATAACTAACCGATGATTAAACGATTACTAGCCGATGGTTAAAGGTTAACCGACTAACCGATTACAACCATCCTCATACCTCCATATAGGCCAAAAATAATGCGTTGTTTGAAGGCTTACAAAGACCCCTTGTCTATCCTAGTTGTAATAGTGACTTAGACTCGAATGAGAATAATTTAAAGGAAGAGTTTTAGAAGGAGCACAGTAGAAAGTCAGACTTGCGCACAGTTGCTCGACAACAATAAATAACATTAAGCTTCCATGTAATTTCGTGGGGTTTACGAGTTGAGAAATTCTTGTTGGGTCTTTTATCGTTGTATGCTTCTTTAATAAAGTTTGATGGTAGAATGATATTATTGTGTACTTGTGTTGGATTGAGTTGATTATGTATTGATATATATATATAAATATATGCTAATTTTTTTTCCATTGATAATAGCTTAAAAGAACACATGTGTATGTATGAGAAATTATAGAAAATTTCACAATTAAAAGAAAGAGGTCTTTAATGGTTTATCGATCGATTATTCTGGTATAACCTTGCCAAATAACTGGGCTAATTGTTATCCGGTTAACCGACAAAATAACCAAAAACGGACTATAAGGTTACGGTTAACCGACTAATTTAAATGGTGCGATTAACGATAAGCACAAAGTACTTAACGATTAACCGAGAATCGACTAAATGGTTTCGGTTATAACCGAATCAAACCGATCATCAACCCGACCTCTAGAGTTCAGACCAATAAGTTTATGCAAATTTTTGTGCAAAATCTTATCTAAGGGTTTTGTAAAATCGTCTCAAACTGATTCTTAACGAGATTTTCATTGATATTCAAAGTGCCTTCGTGCCGGGAAGATTCATGTATGATAATATAATGGTGGCATTTGAGTAGTTTAATGATATGGAAAACAGAAGGGAAGGCAATAAAGAGTATGTGGCTGCTAAGCTGAACATAGCTAAGGCGTACGACAGAGTTGAATGATCTTTTCTCAAAGCCATAATGTTGAGGCTGGGTTTTCATGAAAGATGGGTGAAGTTAATCATGTATTGTGTGACCACAGTGTCCTACTCAGTATTAATTAATGGTCATCTATCACTAGTGGTGTATCCTACTCGAGGACTGTGACAACACAATCCAATATCCCCTATTTATTTCTTTTTTGTGCTGAAGGTCTTTCAGCATTGACAAAGAAGGTTGTGGAAGAAGGACGATGGAAAGGAATAAAGGTAAGCAAAATTGGTCTTATGATATCACATCTAATTTTCGCGGATGATAGCATTTTTTTTTAGAACGAAAAGCAACAGAGGGAAACACTAAAGGAAATTCTCAGGCAATATGAAGATGAATCGGGGTAACATGTCAGTTTGATGAAGATAAAACTTTTATTCAGTCCAAATCTAGATGAGGAATAGAGGCAGGCTATGGCAGATCTGCTAGGGAGGAAACTACTATTTGATTACAAATATTCGGGGTTACTCGCGATAATTGGCAGATCTAAAAAGGTTGTGTTCAGCCAATTAATCGACAAGGTGAGAAAAAAATACAAAATGTGGAAAAGCAAGCATTTTCCAATGCTGCCAAAAAGTACTCATCAAGGCAATAAACAAGGCTTAGACTACTTATGCTATGCCATTTTTGCTTATACCCCAAGGAGTGATTGATGAACTACAATGCTTGATTGTTGGCTTTTGGTGGGGGAGAAAAAGAGAGGAAAGGAGGATACATTGGATCGGTTGGAAGAAGCTGTATAGGCCAAAATCAAAAGGGGAATGGGCTTTCATGACTTACACGAGTTTAACATCTCTTTATTAGGGAAGCATATTTGGAACTTACTTCAAAACCCTTATGTTTTAGTAGCTATGGCACTGAAAGCTAAATACTTCCCTCAATGTGATATTGATATAGTAGATTCTGATTTGGGAAGCAACTCGAGTTACATATGGTGGAGCCTCATGGATGCAAGACCACTGCTGAAGGAGAGCATAAGGTGGAGGATTGGTACAGGATAAAGGGAGAAAATTTGGAGGGATATATGGGTGCCCAGTAGCCCCAATTTCAAGGTTGAATCTCATGTTTCGATTCTGGGGATACACGCAATTGTGTCGGAGTTGATTGATCAGTCAACGAGAGTACAGAAAAGAAATATTTTTCATTCACATTTCCATCCTTGTGATAGGGAAAGGATCTTTCAAATTTCTCTAACTAGTTAGGAGGCCAAGCTCATATAGAAGTTACTGAAGCCACAAGATCTTACTAACGGTGCTAGCTATAACACGATACTCAGCTTCGACAGAAGAACAAGCAACAGAATATTCATTATTTGTATGTCAAGACACAAAAGAGGTACCTAGCTAGATGAAATAGCCAATGTAGATCGACGGGCGGTGGGACACTTTCACCAGTGAGCATCACAATAGCTAGTTAAGATGAGGGAGCGATGAGCTGGGGAAAAGAAGACCACGACCTAGAGAAGATACAAAAGCACCAAATATGCAACAAAAAACACAAGGATGGGTGTAGGAGAAGATTCGAGACAACCAATATGATGATCCTTCTCTTATCCACTAGGGGTCGAATTTATCTTGTAGGTAACCATGATTTCCTTATGGCCTTTCCCCTATTAAGTTAGAGAGGGACCTGTTCTTTTGGTCTAGAAATAGACCATTTCGGGCTTCAAGATCAAGCTCCATTTTTGACGTCCAGCTCGCTTGTCATACAAGGCCCACTAGAGTGCTATGACCTGAAAATGCACGATATACTACTCAAAAGTATGAAAAGTATACTAACATCGCTAGAGGCTACTAAACAGACTTTCGAGGAATTACTAAGCAAATCTAAGTCAATATGGCCAAGTGTATGTATAAAATGTGAAAAATATTCCATGAAATGAGTCTATAAAAAAAATATTTTACGTGTCATCAAATATAAGCTCATACTTAAACTTTTCTTGTACCAAGCAAATCATACTCAAGATTGTATAACTCACTTGACCTCTATGATGATACGTGACTTTCGATTGTAGATAATGAGCAACTAGCAATTTACGAGGATAACCGAAGACAAAAAAAAATAGCTTACCACATCAATGATGGCATTGCCCTCATATGAGTACAATGCACAAAGTAAGTCTATGACACAATCGCGTGTTTACATTAGCCTAATTTAAGGAGATTTTTTATAATCTTACAATCCCATGGTTTGAAGTCATTTGATCCAAACGAGGTTAGGAGTCATCTAAACAAAAGGTTCATTACATTGAAATATTTTTACATCGTAACCCAAATAATTTCAATTAACAATTATTGTATGGTCGAATCGATTAGTGCCCCCTTCAGTTTCCCTGGTACCAACAACCTTCATTGGGAGCACTGAAGTTGCAGCAGTCTTCATTTCTCGCTCAGAGCATACGAATTAACAGAAGAAATCTCTCCAACAATCTCACGAATCGACGTTTCATCAGTGAGTACCGATGTATGAGAAATGCCGCTCACCCTAATAACCTTAACCGACTGGTTCGACCACAGCGTCTCCAATGCCAACAAGCTCTCCAAGTTCACCGTCCCATCACCGTCCCCGTAAACAACATCCGGCCGCCGATCGTCACCGAACCCGTTTTCGAACACCAGCACCTCCGCTGTATCCACTCCGGTCCCAATCACGCACGTGATCGGCACAGGAGGCGGCTCGACCGTGTCAATCTCCTCAACCAAGGGCTTAATCCGAGTCCTGTACGGATAAACACCTTCCGGATACCCAATCCCATCGAGGAACTCCTCGATTTCGAACGCCGAGTAATTCGCGTTCGGGGTGACCACGAGCGGCCTCCTCCCGAACAGTTTCGGGTTCGGGAGGAGCCACAGGTTGCTCTCGGCGCTCCTCTGTTCTCCCCTGACCAGCAGAGGATCGACCAGAGGCACTCCCAGCGTGTTCCCCGAAGCGAAGGTGAGCATTTCGTCCACAGCGCCGGCCCACGGGGCAGATAGGGCGATGAAGTGTTTGACGAATTGCCTGGCCCAGGATGGGGAGCTGCGGGTCAGGAGCTGGAGGACGAAAAGCCCACCGAGGCTATGGGACAGGATGATTACGGGCTTTCTGTCGTTATCTGTGCTAGCCTTCTCGATTAGGGCTTTCAGGTCCGAGAGATATTTGGATCCGACTCGACATGGGTGGCCTTCTGCCGCTAGGCCGTAGCGGAAGTCGTAAGGGGCTCCGAAGAGGGTTTCGCCGTCCACGTAGCCCATCTCTTCCAGGGTATTCACCAATGGCGCCATGTAAGCCGTGATTCCTCTGTTTTTCCAAACTTGGTTAGAATTCCATAATAGAAAACTGAGAAGCTACGAATAAAAAAATAAAGAGAAAGTCAAATGAATGTTTAACTATTCAGCAGCACAGTTAAAGTACCACATAGGTTAGTTACGTGTGAAATATGTATGGGTATTTTACTTCAGCAGTAAAATAATGTTAAGTCTAATAACATGTCAATAGTTATAAAGTACACAAAATTAATTATTACAAAATTAATAAAGGTATACATATTATTCCAATTACCACTTTATTTCACGAAATACAAGTATTAAATGTGTTATATATGTTTTTATATGTGTTTAATATGGAGCAATCAAATGAATGGAGAAAATAAAATGATTTGAGAATAGTAAGGAAATGGAAAAAAAAAATTCTTTGAGGGTGGAAATGGAAATTTTAAAAGCATAAAATAAGTATATTCATATATACACCTATTAAACACCGTATTTACTAACTATGGGTGATGATTTGGTTACCATTAAAAAAGCGAAAGCCAAACTAAAATATTTACCCAAAATCGAAACGAAATCCGTTATTGATTTATTGGTTTTCAGTTAACCAAAACGAGATTAAATTTTACTGGGTTCGGTTCCGTTTAGAACAAATTGAAACCCCTACATCGACGATTTAAAACGAAACCCCATGGACCCCTCAGCCAATTGTTTTTGGTTTCTAATCAAAACAAAACCCGATAAAGAAACAAATACAATTGAATATGGCCTCTCATCATGTCCAACCAAATCAGGATTAATATTAACTTGTTGAATCCAAATCAGGAACCAAATCCCTATTACAGTCGTTTTCCAGGACCAAAATCGGCACAACCCAAAGTGATTGGAGTTGGGATAAAAATACCGGTCCAATCCAGTTCGAGCCACTGGCTACCACTATAATTCTCAATCAATAAACTTACTTGAGAGAAGGGTCGAGGCAGAGCAGCGACTCAGTGGATCCAAAGTTGCAGACTCGGGTCTCCACGCCAGGTGTGTTACGGAAATCATCGGATTCCTTGTCGTAGTGAAGCATCATTCGCTCGGAGAAGCAGCGGGTGAACGTGGACAGAAGCACGGTGGGGTCGAACCAGAGTCTGAACCACCCGCCCTTCTGTTTCAAAACCGGGTAGAATGAGCAGATTAGGCTGGAAGGCTGGTAACCGGCGGTTAGCCTGGCTTCCAGCTGGTTCCCGCCGGCGCCCGGAACCAGGACGAGAGGGTGTAGGCCGCCGGCTCCGGCGGCGGTTGCCTGGTACGGAAGGATCATAATCGCAAGCAATAGTAGTGCTGGAGATGAAGTACCAGTGTTCATAATTTGGTTGTTCTCTGGTTTTGGGGTGTGGGAAGGAACGGATTGGGGGGCAGAGAAGAGAAAAGATCATCCAATGGAGCTGTGGAATCTGGAGGGTAATGAGAAGTCGATTTTATCGGATGTCCCCGAAGGGACGAAAGTGAGAAGTCGAGGATTTGCCACGGATGTGGTCTTTTACGATGCGTTTGTTCGTTGCCTCGACAGGATAGACGCTGGGAAAGCAGGAAGCGAGAAGTGGAAAGTGTGCTTGTTTTGTGGATGGGTTGTAAAATTTGGGCCCGATACTTTGGATTCCGGGCTTGAAGGATCCAATAGAAATTTGTGGGGACGGGGTTGGGCCACTTAATGGATTTGTATTTGTGGAAGAGGAGTTTATCGTTTCATGTTACAGGGAGTTACAAATGGTTGATTGTAGATAGGAAGGACACTATGTCGGTTTGGGTTGGAGTTTCCTAAACTCAAACTCAGTTTAATGGCTCAAGATAGGGTGGATAACTAAATCTAGACCCTTCATTTAAATAATTTAGATCTAAGGATGGAGAATTAAAGATCATTTTTATTTTCCTTAACTTTATTAATCGGCTCATATCTTCTACGTTTTAACTTGGATTTTAATTTTTTTTTTTTTGCACAAATGGAACGAGTTCGTTGTGCTCTACAAAATGAGATATATTTTCAATATTTTTTGAGAAAAAAAATTCTTGCCTCTCGGTACCAACTGCATACCATATGGTATCTTATTCGTTTTTAATTCATTTTTGAAAACGATTGCACAGAATGAACGAGTTCATCATGATCTATTGGATCTAAAAATATCTAGGTGAGCAAATTACAGGACCAAAAAATACCACACAATTCCATACAATACCACCCTGGTACGGGGTGGTATCTTGTGGTACACAATGTTAAAAATCGTAAATGACGGTTAATATACTTCTACTATCATGTATTCAACAATCCTACAGTTGGTACCGGTCCAGTGGAACTGAACTAGAGGAGCCCGGTCCAGGGCTGGGTAAGTATAAATAGGGTCAGTAGCTAGCATTTGTGCAGGTTGAATTCTATCACTAAACACTGGAGTTAGACACTCTTCTCTTTAGAAAAAAGACTAACTTGATCGTCGGAGGATTACGGGCCCAGGCGCCCCCTCTTTGTGCATGTGTGCAGGATAAGCGCCCCCTCTTTGAAGCACTGCGGAAGCAAGCGCCCTCATCAGGGCCATTGTTTACGCCCACGAGTTATGCGCCGGCCCGGAGGATGGATGCAGGGCGTCCGGCACCCAGCGGGGTTGGTTCCTTCATGGAATTTAATGATACGATGAAGAATGTGCTCCAGTACGTCTACGAAAAGGGCTACCATGTGCAGTGGCCGGGACCAATTAGGGGGCATCCCAATGAGCAAAAGCTGGACCGAAATTGCGACTTCCACCAAGAAAGGGGTCACCATACCGTCGATTGCTACCAGCTAAAGATAGAGTTACAAGGCTTGGTGAATAGAGGGATGCTCAACTACTTTGTCAAGAAAAATGATTAGAAGATGCACCGAACTTACGCCACAAGAATAGACTTAGAAATGGCGGAGCTGCCACCGCCTCCCTATGATCTCGACCAAGACAAGGCGCCTGAGCACGTGCAGCTTACAGTGGAGTCCATTACTGGGGCAGTCGACCTAAGGGAAAAATTGGAGGCGAATCGTCGATTGTTGGCGGTGTCGGTCGACGTCAAAGAGGTGATCAACATCAAATTCAACCAGACGTCTAATGAGGCATGCAGGCTCCCATCCATGGATGCGCTGGAGATACAAGGAGTGGTTTCAGGTTGCAAGGTAAAGAGGATGCTTGTCGACACCGGGAGCTCTATGGACGTGTTATTCAAAGACACGGTGGCATATATGCAATTGTCGCCGGATTTGATACATTCGTCGAACTCGGTGTTGATTAGGTTTTTCGAGGCACCCGCAAGGGTAATTGGCCGTGTGCGCTTGCCGGTGACTCTAGGAGATGAAGAACAAAAAGTCACTCATGCTATAGACTTCGGGATCGTGGATTGTCCCTCCCCATACAATGTGATTCTCGGAAGGCCCCTCTTGGCCTTGTTAAATGGGGTGGCATCCACGTGTCATCAGACCCTGATGTTCATCGCCCCGTAGGGAGTCGGAGTGGCCAGGGGAAGGAGCGCCCCGCGTTGTGCTCGGGATATGTGGAGTAGGCATATGTCTAAGGAATTTAGAATTAATGCAGTGGAATTCGTGTCAGAAGAGGCACCCTGTGTAGAGGCTGTCGATGAAGAAATTTTGATTCCTTTGGAGGATGAGCGCCCCGAGTGGCATGTGAGGATATCCGCACAAGCGCCCTCAGAAATGAGAGGACAACTTATCGCCCTTTTATGGGATTTTGGCGAACTCTTCGCATGGAGTGCCACCAGATCCCCATTGCCCAAGAAAATCAGGCGAAGACAGCTTTCATGACTCATTTTGGGGATTATTGCTGCTGGTTCATGGTCTTCAGGATAGAGAATGTGGGCGCCACCTATCACGCATGGTCAACAATGTCTTTCGTGACCAGATTGGGCAAAATTTGGAAGCTTATGAGGACGACTTGATCGTGAAAAGTGGCAGACGAGGAGATCACTTGGGCGACTTGCGGGAAACGTTTGAAACCATGCGTAGGCATAGGCTTCATCTTAATCCCCTCAAAAGTGTGTTCGGTGCTGAGGCAGGAAAGTTCAAGGTTTTCATGATCAGAAAGCGTGGTATCGAGGCTAACCCAAAACAAGTGGACGCAATAGTCAAGTTGGCACCACCAAAGACACCTAAGGAGGTGCAAGGCCTGGTAGACCGACTAGCAACGTTGGGGCGCTTCATACCAAGGTCAGCTGATAAGGCGTCCCCTTTCTTCCGAACACTCAAGAAGGCGGTGCGTTTCCATTAAAGCATCGAGTGTGATGAGACATTTGAAGAGCTAAAGCGCCTCCTAGAGGCCCCAACCGTGATGACGGCTCTCAGAGCGGGGAAAATAGTAAATACTGTACCTATACATCGCGGTCTCTGAGATTACGGTAAGCGCGTTCCTGATATGAAAGGAGATGCTTACTAGAAAGGAGAGACTGGTATACTATGTTAGCCAAACCATGGTAGCCCACGAAAGGTGGTATGCTCCCATTGAGAAGGCGGAGCTGGCGGTCGTTACGGCGTCAACCAAGTTAAGACCATATTTCCAGGCGCACAACGTGGTCGTACTCACAACCTCCCTCTAAAATCAATGCTGCGATCAATGGACATGGCCGGGCACCACGTCAAATGGGCAGTTCAGCTGAGTGAGTTCAACATACGGTACGTGCCCAGGCTGGCGATCAAGGCTCAAGTGCTGGCAGACTTTGTCGCGGAAGGAATAGTCGAGACGGAAATGGCCAAGGATGATAATTGGCAAGTACAAGTGGATGGAGCGGCCAGTCGCACTAGGGCCGGGGCAGGAATTGTGATCCTAAGTCCCATGGGGGCAAGTTCAAGTGGATGGAGCGACCAGTCGCACTAGGGTCGGGGCAGGAATTGTGATCATCTGTCCCATGGGGGCAATGCATGAGGCCGCGTTGCGCTTTTTGATGCTAAAGACTAACAATGCCGCAAAGTATGAGGTGGTCATAGTTGGGCTCCACATGGCAAGGGAGTTGGGCGCCCAGAAAATGCAGGTCAAGTCTGACTAGGCTTTCGTAATCAACCAGCTCAATGGGGTTTTTGAAGTCAAGAAAGAGGCGCTAGAAAGTTATGTTTGGAGGATAAAAGAGTCGGGCGCCTGGTTCAATGAGGTCGTGTTCACGCATACCCCACGAGAAGAGAACGCCCACACCGACGCAGTGTCTACCTAGCAAACGCCCTAGATTTTGCGGAGGAAAGGAAGGTTATTGTCACAAGTGAGGTGCCACAAGAACACTTGATCGCTACCCCAAACAATACAAATGCAACTAGTGGCTGGATGACACCCATATAGTTGTTTTTAACTCAAGGCGTTGTGCCCGATGACCCTAAGGAAGCCTGGAGCCTCCTTCGAAAGACAACCCGCTGCTCCAATATTGATGGTCAGCTATACAAACGATCTCATTCGGGGACCTACTTGCGATGTTTGAATAACGAGGAGAGCAAATCTGCCATCGAAGAGGTGCATGGCGGATCATGCGGCATGCATGCAGGAGCACGAAGTTTGGAGAAGACATTGTTGCGGCAAGAATATTACTGGTCGATGATGAGGAGGGACGCGAACGCACACGTTGGCACCTGTCACCAGTGCTAGGTGCATGCAGATGATATCCACATACCGGCAGCATTGATGCAAGGCAATGTAGGCTCCTGACCTTCGCTCAATGCGTCATGGATCTTTTGGATCCTTTCCCAACGGCGCCTGGTCAAATGAAGTACCTAATAGTCGCGATCGACTATTTCTCAAAATGGGGCTGAGCCGTTGGCCACCATTACTAAGGCTCAGGTGTGGAAATTCGTCAAGAAGAACATATTTACCCGATTCGGTCTGCTGGAGTCCATTGTCATGGACCACGGTAAGCAGTTCGATTGCAATAAGTTCGTTGAGTTTTGCGACAAAAATGGGGTTGTATTGCGATTCTCGTCGGTGGCATATCCTCAAGCTAATGGGCAGGCTGAGGTGTCCAACCAAAGCATTCTCTTGGGTTGCACACCAGGTTGACGAGCGCCAAAGGCCGTTGGGTCAAGGAGTTTCCTAGTGTTTTATGGGCGCACCGGACCACCTACAAAACCGCCACAGGTGACACACCATTCGCCCTAACTTATGGTGCTAAGGCCTTCATCCTATTTGAAGTCAGCTTCCCAAGCTATCGAGTGGCTCATCATGACCCAATCAACAATGCCAACGAGCAGGTCAACGAGTTAGACTTGGTGGACGAGAGGCCGAAAGTAGCAGCGGTGCTCCTAGAAGCAATGAAGAGGCAGGTTGCGAGATATTACGATAGGAAGATGCGGCCACACGACATCACGACAGGCGCCCAGGTACTTTAGCGTGACTTCCGACCATACTCCCAGGAAGGAAAGTTGGCGCCAAAGTGGAAGGGCCCATACCGTATTCGTGAAGTTGTTGGAGCCGGCACATTCAAGTTGGAGCATCTCAATGGCAAAGCAGTGAAAAGGACATGGAATGCCCAAAATCTGCGCCTTTACCAGCAATGACACACAGGCGCCTCTACTTGTTAGGGCGGGATTGCAAGCACCGATGGTAACATAGTTCATTTTATCTTTTATGCGGAATCACAAGTGTTTTACGACAAGCGCTTGTATCGTGTCAAAAGCTCCTAAGTTAGCAGCGCCATAATGTGTCAAAGAGCCCCATCTGTAGCGCCCAGATTATATTAAAGCGCTCAAATCAGTTAAGCGCCCATTTATGATCAAATATTTTGTTTATCACCGACCAATTAAAGCGCCCCATTTCGCGCTCTCAACTAAATAATATGTG